TGAGTACCGTATGCACACTGGGTAGGTATGACTTCACCCAAGAAATACTTGATTATCCCCTTCCCTCTCTCACTCACCTAGGACGGTTCATCTGCTTGTTATAGAAATTCATTTTCACGAACATCACTCTAACTGAGCGGTTGTTCATTAACTCGTTACAGGAAATCATTTTCACGTATCTACTTCACTGAGCGGCGGTTCTTGAGCTTGTTACGTGAAATAATTTTAATGTGTCTGTCAAACTGAGCGGTTGTTCAGAAGTCCATTTCTCTTTAGAAGGTTCTCTGTATTTCAACCCGTTCCTAAACTCAACAAATGTGTAGTGTAATGTGAAATTATAATTCAGCAGGGAGGAGAGTAGAACAAAATCATCAAGTGGATGGAGAACTGTTCAAACTGTTGCTCTAAAGTTATCACACATAGCGCTCACATGTCTTCTGAAACAGCTGTGATCTGTGAATGCCTGGTGCCATGCCAACACAATCTCTGCCATAGTGAGACGTAAGCAACGTTCATGGGATTCTTGAATTGTGATGAAACTGGGTAAAACGGAATGATTTCATGAACAAGAAATGTAGAACAGTTGCCTATCGCAGATAGCAATGTCTGCAACGAACGGCATGGTGTTGTCTTTGAATGAACTATAGAAGTTCGTGTCATGTTGCAACTGTAATGTATTGCCATTGTACTGTATAAAGAAGTTTTCTGATAAAGAAACAGAGAGAGTGTGTGATAAAAAGATAGAAACAGAGAAAGAGAGAGAGTCAGATCGATCATATTCTCTCCTAAAATTTACATAAAGAGTTGTAATAGAGATGAATCATGTGATTGTTTGATGTATGTGGTTCACCTTGATGTTAAAAAGGAATAGATTAACGTGACAGTAAGTTTGAAAAAGCATCTTAAAGGTAATTAATCTTATTTTTACCTTTTATGATGATAATCTATGAGAAGTAGAAGGTCACCTCCACCCACCACCCCCCCCGGCGCAAACGCAGCGG